AAATAACGTGTGTGTGTGTGTGTGTGTGTGTGTGTGTGTGTGTGTGTAGAACAAAGGTAGGGAGAGCAAAGGCAGGAGGTCTAGGGTATATAGTTCAAGCAATAAGCTCAGAGAAGAGCAAATAATCTCTGGAGTGCAACTGGGGCAGGATGACGCCTAATTTTGTGTCAATGCAGAGTAAAAAGGCCAGATTATAAGGCAAACCAATGACAGCGAGCAGCGTAGTGGCACAGGGCATTGCTTCTCAAACTTTATGCGGTACTAACCACCCGGGAATCTTGTTACAATGAAGATTCTGGTTGCAGGAGGGCTTTACAAGTTCTCAGGGGATGCCTCTTCTGGGTTACACCGAGTATCAGAGAGAATGGTTTCTGCGAGGATACTTTCGTGGTTGAAATACACACAGTGACCACTAATTAACTATGTAATCTTCAGTAAGTTGTGTTACCTTTCTGCGCCTCGGCTTTCTTGTCTATAAAATGGAGATCAGGTGAGGTATTCTTTGTAAAGGGAATACTAGTTAAGCGTCACTGATTAGTAGTGTTACTTCACTTGAGAAAGGGAGAAAGGAAGAGATTTGGCATAAGGTGCGAGCTGTATTTTTTATAATTTTTAAAAGGAAGTGTCCAGTATTGACTTGTGTGCGGAATTACCTCCTCTCCCTTGCAAGCCAGTTACATAAGAAGCCAGATTAGTCATGCGTGTGCTACGCGTAGGGCGGCTAAGGAAGCCTGCTTGCAAACTGGTTTGAGCCCTACGATGGAAAAACCATGCGTGGGGATTGTCTTCAATTGCGAGTGGAACCCTAAATTTCTCTCCATTATTCAGGACTCAACGCGGCTCGCCAAGTATTCAGAAAGAATACCTTTTCCCAGCAGCTGCGCAGTGGTGGCCAGAGAGAGGCGCTCGGGAGAGGCTCCGGGAACCGAGGGTTAAAGGCTCGGTGACTGAGCAGGGGCGCGGGGCTGGGAGACGGCCGGCCCACGTGGACCACCGGCCGGGCGGGGGGAGGGGCACCAGGCCGACCCGGCCAATCAGCGCTGCCCGCCGCGGGCCCAGCCCCTCCTGGAGGGCGCGCTCGCAGGACTCCCTTTCCCACTGCTGGTTAACGCGCCGCCTTGGACGGGGCGTACTGCCCCCGCGCGCGGCTGCTGATCGACCCCAGGCGTGGAGGTGCAGCTACTGCTTCTGCAGCCTCTGCTTCTCCCGCGGCAGTTTCGGACTTGAGTTTGGAGAGACGTGGCAACTTTCTTTACAGCTAGCCTGAGGAGGCGATGGGCCGTTCTCGGGGGGCCCGCGGGGAGGCGGCACCGTGAGCGTCCTCGGGTGCGGAGATCGGTGCCTCGACTTGGATGCGCAGGCTTGGCTGCCGGCTGTAGTCGAGTAAGAAGGGTTGGAAGGGGAAAGGAGGGGCGGGAAGATGGGGTTGCGGCGGCTTTGGACCCGGTGCTCGGTTTCTGTCTGGTGGATACCAGCTGCCTCTCGGACTGATAGACTTGACCCGGCTCCTCATCTCCGTGCTCTGGAATGCGGGGTGACCTGTGCGGTAGTTGGCGTGCACCCTGAAGTTAGAAGCGGAGCTCTGAAGTGAGGATGTGTTGGTTGGGGAGGGGCAGCGGCCGCTTCCAACTTCTGGGTTCCTGCCTGCCATTTAGAGACAGACCCCGAGGGTGCTCCGTGGATGTAGAGGCGCCACTGATGGATGGGTAAGAAGGGAGGTAGGGCGAACTCTCCGTGAGGTCTTGTTTTGGAGAAGACGGCCTTGGCTTCATCCCTTGGGGCATTATCCGCAGCTCCTAACAGGAGCTAGTGGAGTTAGTTAGTTGATAGATCAGCCTCTTTCTGAGCCCCTGGTTGCTGGGCTGTTGGTGGAGGGCGCCGCGTGCGTCCGGGACGTGTCTTCCAGCCGGGAGAGCAAAGCTTCCCGCGCAAGTGGAGAACTGAAGCGGGTCTGGAAGTTCTGTCTCTTTCGAGTTAGGCACGTCGGGTTTGTCCACCAAGCCGGACTGTCTACATTTCTCCCCTCTTTTCAAACCTAATCTTGCCTCATTTGTCCTGTCAATCGCTTCTAGAAGTAAGACCGGACATCTTTAACCCTATACCATGAGCTCATCTTTGGGGAGGATGGGAAGTAGAAAGCCTGATATCCCACCCCTAGGGAGCCAGCCCAAGCCAGATATGGTGCCACTGGTGTGTGTTTCTCCTGAATCAGTATCACGTAACGTTTAGGCAGTGGGGGGAGGGGGAAATCCAGGGACTCCCCTGAGAACCTTAGCCAAGCTATGAATCAACTCTCCGGCAAGATGTATATGCATAGATTCATGGTCTCGCTGAGACCTACCAGTATGCCTGCGCATCCCCCTACTAGGATTTAAGGACCCCTTACTCCCATTGGTGAAGCCTCTGTATCCCTGTACTCTTTTCCCCTTTAACTTTTTAGTGGCCGTCCCTGCAACATGAGCAAGGTTGATGTGATGTGACAGGCAATCCCCGTGTGTGGGGGTGAGTATGTTTAAAGCCTTGGTCTGGCTGTTTCTCCAATATCCTTGGAACAGAGATTGTCTATACCAACCCGAAGATGCCAGCTGCAGACTCAGGCACCCAAACTTGCATATGTTGATGGCTTAGCTCCCTGATCACACTGGCTCCCTCCAGACCACTTGCTGCAGACGACAGGGTGGGGGCAATTTGTCTATGTCTGAGCCTTGTTCAGGCAGGGACTGGATTGAAAAAAAATGGCTAAAATAATGTAGCAACATTCATTTCACACTATAACCAGTATTTTCCACTAAGTCACTTGAGAACAGATGTATGTATGACTTGAAGGATTCTTCAGCAGCTTGCTGTGGGTTTTACAGTCAGAAGCCTTTCTGCTAAGTGTGTAGCCATGAATCAGTGTACAAGCCCAACACTTCCTTTGGATTGGAAATACAGGTCTTAATAAGGCAGCATGAGAGCAGTTTTCAGAGTCATTAGCACTAATGATGACTTATGTCCTCCCAAACTGACCATGTGAGTTGGCATTGCTCATTTGTGCAGGAAGGTTTCTTCATTTGTGTGGACATTTCTTGGTCAATATTTTCATAGTTGAAAGCTGAATTTTAAGGTTTCCTTTCTCAGTTCTTCTGTCTCAGTGTTCTGCATTGTGTGACTTTGCTCTCTTCCCTCTGTACCATCTTATTGGGTTGTCGGAAAAGTCATGACGCATTTTTGCAATGAAAAACAGAAAAAATACGTCATGACTTTTTCGATAACTCAATAGTTATCCTTTGACACTTTAAAGTTTATTATAAGGTTTTAAAGTCACGATTTGTCTTGGCTAGTTTTACCTGTTAAAGATAAGAAAGTTACCCTTCCCAGAGAAGCAGTCACTGCCAATTCACTTATTTTTTAATTACTTTAATTTTTTTACTTCTCCTTCAACATGCAAAAACCTACAAATATTTCTAGTTGATTATTGAATATTTTTCAGCGGAGGCAACCTTTCCATATTTCTAGTACTAAAATGTTCTAGGTCACTTGAATTTCAATATTCAATTTTTGCTCTTTTTAAAGATGTGTATTGTTTGATGACCTAGTTATATTTAGTCACACATAAAAAAGGTTCTTTGCTTTATCCCATTACCTCCTTTTCAGTGGCACATAGCCTTTCTCTAATAGCTGCTTTTATCTGCACAACTCACTTATTGTTACACATAATATACTACTTTGTTATGTAAATAATGTGTTGATGCATGTGATATTGAAACTGCATTCACTGGGGATTAACCCAGGGTATGACATCATCACCAGCCAATCCTGTACCTGATTTGAACGTGCCTTGACAAAAGTCACATTATCATATTGAGAAAGGGTTTCTGTATTGCCTGTGATGAGTGAAAAGAAGAAGGAAGTCTTTGGATCTTCCTAACTCTCAATTAGCTACCTAGTTGGAGAGTTTTGGGGATTTCTATACTAAGAAGCTTAGTTTAATAATACAATTCTCAGATTGCAGTTTTATAGATCTCTTTAGAATTTGCGTAAGTACATTTTTCTACTCATACCTTCTTCCTCTGTGGGACTTTTTCACCCTGCTTTCTGGCTGTATTTCTTTACATATATGGAGAGCCACTATAGTACACAGACTAGCCTTTTGATTTTTTTTGTCCTTGAGATAGATAGAACATTGATAGATAGATGGATTAATTTCTCTGTGTACATGTGTTGGTTTTATCAGGTGTTGGATATAAATCTGCTAGGATTAGCAAAATGACTTCAGGTCCTGAAGCCAAGCATAAGTATGCTTTATACTAATTTGTTGAAAAGATTCAGGATTGAGGGTGGAGGACAGCAATAGGAAAAAGGTGACCAGAAAGGAATTGGTGAAGTGATCTTGGCCACATTAATCATTTATAATTATTTGTTTTGAAATGTTATTTAAAAAGCTCACATCGGTTCTAGGCAATCCGTACTTATTATAGACACGAGTTCGAGCTGTCATGGAGTTGTGCCTGGTAACCACATCCCACTCAGCTGGTGATCTCCGACAACCTACCTCTCACAGGGTAAAATTAACTTTGGCTTCCCATCTATTAAATATTTGTGGAAAAAATTAAAGTAACTCTCCCTGGTTTATAGTTGCCATTCAAATTAAATCCATTTTCCTCCATAAAGTCAGTTAAAAGTGCTCTTTTTAAAAAAAAAACATTAATTGCACAATCTGGTTTAAAGAAAGACACAAAGGATCACAGAATTTTAAATCTGGAAAGTACTTCTGAGTTCATTTTTTTAGAAGTTCAAGGGTAGGAGGTGTGGCTTGAATCTCTATGGTATAAAAAGAACTGGTATTAGAATGCCAGGGTCCTAACTCCTAGCCCAGTGCCCTTTCCTATAAAGGCTTGCAGAGAATGACTGTTGTGATGGGATGGGACCCCCCCCATTTCAGCTGCCTCTGCAAAGGAGGACCACATCCGCTTCTCTCACTATCAAGGCTCAGTTGAACCCTGCTCAAGGATTTGATGGCTGTGTGCACCACCTAGCTTGGGTCACTTCCTAGTAGCTGTTGCAGCATCTGCAGTTACAAAGGAGACATTTAAAAGGGAGGTGGTGGTAGAAGAGGTTTGGATGGAGTGACTCAATTTGGACCTTTTTGAACACACAGAAAGGCACATGTTAAAATGATGATGAGGCAGTTTTAGGTAATGATTTAAGATTTACTTGTAAAGAGAACTCAGAATATTAATTTATTGTGTGATAGTCTCCTCTTTCATACTTTGTGCTTTTTTAGTTGCTGTAAAACCAAACTAATAATTTGGAATAAAGCCCTCCTTACTGGCATGGTTGTGAGTAATGGTAATGGTATCTTACATTTGTTGATTACTTAGTGTGTGCCAGGAGTAGGGTGTTGATGTTTATGGAACATTCTGGTTAATGGGTGGCACTCTATATGGATGAGCTACAGATTTTCCAAGGCATGAATCTAAAACCACATTGAATCTTTTTTCATCACTCATTTTGATTCAAAAGATGGCAGGATCTTACAGTAGCAAGTCATTAGCATGAACATAAATAATTTTGATTCAGAAGTATGGTAGTGTCAGCTATTAAGAAGCTCTTGTTAATAAAATGACAAATAAAAAGAAGATGCTGTATTTAGAAAGATTGCCAAGATGTGGCTAATTGGTCTCCTTTCATGAGGTTGTTTGTAGTATTGTTAGTGCAGAAGACTCAAGTATCCATGATAGAAGATACGAAGATACCCTTGTATTTCTTATAAAAGGAAAACATTAAGCTTTTTTTTTCCAATAAAAATATGGTGTTGCATATACAATAACTTCTGTTGGCTCTGTTAGTGCTGTAAGTTCATTTCAAACTAGAAAGCAGTTGAACATTTTGGCAGCATTTAAATTGTCTGAACTAAAGGTGGAACTGTCAAAAGCTAGAGTTACTATTATTACTAGTTTTTCAATGACCATTGTCTCTGCTGGAATTCTCTTACTTACACATCTATGCCATATGTGCTTAAGTTTTCTCTGAAAATTCATGGTTTTATCTATTTATTTTCTGGGGGCAGTTTTGTTCCCCAGAGGAATATCGGCAATATTGAGAGCCATTCCTGGTTGATAAAACTGGGGTGGGATTGGGTGGGTCTCTAGTGGGTAGAGGCCAGAGATGCTGCTAAACACCCTGTAATGCACAGGACAGCCTCCACAACAACAAATTACCTGACCCCAAAATGTCATGAATGCTGTAGCTGAGAAACCCTGGTCTAGTGATACTTTTCAGTGACAGAGCAGTGAAATGGATTATCTGGTATCCCCAGCTCCTGATTTCAGACAGGGATCCCAGATTTCTAAATGCATAAGCCAGGATTCTTTGAATCACTCTAGGCTTCTTATGTGAAG